TACCGGATATAGATAGAAAATAAAATAATAGATTAGAGAGTATAGTTTACTTATTTTAATTATTTACTTCTTTTATTATAACGCTTATAGGACTTTACTCTAGTATCTAATACTCTTTATAAGGACTTATACCTATCGAAGAGTAGGTACTAGAGAGGGAGAGTAGCGAGGTTTTACTTATTTGTTTTACTAGTTAGTAGCGCCTACGGGACTTTACTTTTAGTACTATCTTTATAGAAGCGCTAGAAGCGGAAGGGTAGTATTATTACCGAGTTTAATATATACTTACTTTAGTATCTATTTAGATACTAAGAAAGGGAGAGATAATAAGTAGTAGTAGTACCTAAGTTAGTATACTAGCTTAACTAGTACTAACTTAGCCTACAGCTACTTAAAGTCTTCCTTTCTAGTAGTAGTTAGTACTTAGTATCGACTTCTTATATAAATCTCTTTAAACTACCTACTCGTATATTACTTATAGAGACCTATTTATAGATACTCGATTAGTTAATATACTCTCTTTATAACGTTAGCTTAACTATAGCGATTAGCTAGGTTAGGTTAGAGTTAGCCTTATTAATAGCTACGCTAGTAGAAGTCTTTAGAGTTAGTCTTAGAGCTATTAAGCTTAGGCTCGCTCTACTTCTAATTCCGCGCCTACGATATTATTCTTCTCTTCCTAGTCCTCCGCTAGAAAAGCTAAGCGGCGATAAGGATACCTAGTACGGTAATAATAGATCTAAATACCCTTCCGGTAATCGTACCTCCGCCGAGACCTTAAGCTTTACTAGATCTCTATACTCTAACGGCGGAAGTCGACGGGACCTAGGTCGCTCTAAGGTATTGTTCGCTCCTTACCCCGCTACAAGGTAATGTTAACTACGTAGATACTCTAACTTGTTATTAAACTTGTAACCAAGGGTGCTTTAAGAGCTGCGATGCCGGAAGGCGCTCTCCCGGATCCCATTTCAGCATGTTGTATAACATGTCGAAGAACAACGGCAAGTCTGTCGTCACGTCCACTCGATCCTCTAGCCGCACCCGAGCTGAGGGCTCGTATCTCCAGTGACCTAAGCCTTCGTGAGAAAATGATTGAAGAGGCACACGATAGAGGCTTACCTTTGGCATCGAAATATTCAGACCGGCGGGAACAGCGTGACAGCAGGCTTGGAGGCGGAGTACCCAGATACTGTACCATTAAGCCAACAGTGTCGACCTCATTCCCTTGCCCAAAAAGCCGTTCCCCCAAAGTGAGCTCCCAGATCTACAGTCGAAGGATTAGCATTGTTATCAACATCGCCAACTTCTTACTCACCAAGACGCCCAGACTCCATATGTCGATCTTCGTGTCCCATGCTGCACCAAGTAGGACTTCAGGAGCACGATATGGCAGAGCTTGTACCGTTCCAGTGCGAGACCGTTCTCCAATCACTGCTGATCCTAGATCACACAGTATAGGGAATCCAAGGTCATCCTGCATCATCTTGCGAGATTCGTAGATAGGCGAACCGTCGGCCGTGATCTTTGCGGTGCTCGGATTCTCCTGTTCGGCAGCGAACAACTTGCGCAGAGTTTCATCCTCATTCCCGGATATGGTCATTTGGATATTGTCGGGTTTGATATCTACTAAACGTCATTGCTTGATCGAACGTCCGGCTGTCTTGACTCACCGGTATGTACAACATCGTGTGTGTGTAGAAAGTCCAGCGCGTGTAGAAAATAGACAGTCATCCAGCGCACTTCGTGAAGATGGCAACACCCCGACTCACGATTTGATACAAATTCCAGTAGATTTGGGCCAAGCGGTGCAAAAATGAAGCATTGATGTTTGTTGCCTTTCGACTCAGTGACGAACATGTGCTCGGGACGACGAACGCAGTACTTTCCTACGTTTTGTGAGTCCGACGCCTGGCTTCGAATGTGGGCAAAAACTTTCGCCTCTCTGGAGCCCCCGCTCTCAGCTGTCAACACCTTCAACACCTTGAAATTCTGTCTGCTTTCCACGATTAGCAGACCTTTTGAAGTCGTTGAACCCGGCGCGAACGTACCTTTCATCCGTACAGAGCCATGTAGTAGAGTGTCCGCCAAATCCAAGCTTAGCCTTGACGACATACTGGCCGCCGATCACGTCGCCTAGGATGACAGGGTAGTAGTTAGAGCTCTTGTACCGCGACAGAGATTCTTCCTCGATGCGCTTCGGCGTAGACGTCATAGTATGCGAACTTCGCAATGAGCGAAATCCGTGGACTGGCGCACCTGAAGTCCTCAAGTAAAGGCCAGCATATCGTGAGAATTGACGGGAAATTTTCATACTGAGATAGCGAGACGCCAAGTAAGAAGCAAGTCGCGGCTACTTCAAATCTTGGAGAATCCAGGCGCTAGTTCTGATTAGGTTAGCCGTTGCGTAGCCTTACCACAATTTAGCTTCTGCACCACGCCAATGACTGATTAGGCACAGGACGAGCAACTGGCGCTGCTTTCCTTGACGCCGGCGATGGATCTCTTGAGTCGGCAGAAAGGACAGTTAGAAGTACAAAGTGAGGCAAAGCACTGCAGTGCTGATCTGAATCATCCGCTAGAATTGAGTGACGGATACTGAAGGAATTATTACAAGCACTAGACATGCTTCCCGGTTGCCTCCTAAACAACATGCTCTCCTTCTTTGCTACCCCTACTCTTCCAATCTACTGCGACTTCTTTTTAACATCGGAGTTGCCTTCCTTATCAACATGAATCGTCTCGACCCTGGCGTTTCGCTCGTTTAGCATTTGAACTGAAATGACTTGCTTGCCCGAACCATCGTGGGATGCATGGATTCTGTCTCCTCTAAGGCAGTAAAATTAGTGGTCGGGTATATGACCGGTCTAAGAATAACAAACTTGAGCTTAATATCCTTAATGACCGGATTCTGGCACCGCGATGTTAGCTTCAGATTGGAGATCGGATAGCAACACTACTTACAGCGGCCATGCGTTCTGCGACAGCTTTCTCGACATAAGCTTTCATTGGCTGGCCAACAGTCTCGAGCTTTTTTGCCCAGGAAGCCATAAAGAGTGGTGTTTAGCAGGCTTGAGCGAGGGTGGTAAAGAGTCCGATCGTGGTGCACTCACAAGCTTCTTTATAGGATTGCCTGTCAGCTTGGCGGATAGCAGAGACGCTTGCCGGAGGGCAGACGCACCTGACACGTAGGCCCTTGCCTCAAGGATTAGAATCCGACGCGCCAGTACCTGACACTCCCATGTTAGTGCGCCGAAGGATCCTTCGAAGGCGGCACAGAGCATCTTGGGATTTGAGGGCGCTTCCAGCCCGCGCGTAGCGGCGTAGCGAGCGGAGCTCGTATGGTGAGCCAATCCAAATCGTGCAGTTGAGAGTCTTGGCTAATGCTGCATTTCGACCAGCGGGACAGCTGCGTGAACAGCTGCAACTTCACGACTTGATGTCGAGTCGTGACATGTCAATCAGGCGCTCCGGCGGACAAACCTTTTCCCGCTAGCGGGGGCTTGCGAGTGAAGGGCAAAGCCCGCGCCTTTGGCTGGCACAAGCCCCATTTTATACGACAATACAGCCGTACATCGAATACCTATCGAACAATCACAACACCCTTACCTTCCCTCGGGTTGGCTGGAAGTACTCATGTTAAGATGGTGAGAAGCAAGTGAGAGGTAAAAGAGCGAGGCAAAGAACATCAATGTGAGCACACGTTGCATGGGACTAGTCTACATACAGAATGTGACCATCTGCCTCAGACGCACCGAACCTAGAACGCCAATACATTTTCTCCACTTTAGACATGGCCTGGTCTGCACGTATTCGTCAGTCGGGACAATCGCCCAAGCGACGGCAGTTATGACAGACCAAGCGATCTGGCGGCTCTGGCAGCCACGACACGCATTATACCAACGAAATATCTCGCACGCCTTAGGTGTGCATCTTGGAGAGATGTCTACCGCATGAGAAATCTTGTCTCATACCTCCTTGTCGGACGCGGCGCCGGAGTAACCTCTTCTTCGGTTCCCAAGCCGCCCGACACAGCATAGCCGCCCGTACGAGTTCACAGCCTTGCGCCTTCGCGACTTGTCCTTTGACTCGCGCAATCTTTGTATATTGGATACATTCACGCAAGGTCATCGGCTGCCAACGATCAAGATCACACAACAAAGCCTAGCCGAATACAGCAAAGATGGCGAACACCTACAACATCGATATTAGCGACACAGACGCTTTCGAGCACCAGCCGCTAGCTGATTCCAGTAAGCAGATACGGCTATTGGCTGTCCTACCTGGGAACCCAAATGAAGACATTCGAGTACGATTAAGTACGCACTGGCTCGACCTTGAAGACGGGAGCGATAATCAAGACGAGTATCAAGGAGAGGACTACGAAGACTTTGCAGGTGTACCGCCGACTCCACTCGACCGATACGTGCGGTTCTCTAGCGTGCCTCCGTATAACGCGATCTCATACACATGGGGTGACACCCAGACAAGGCGGATTTGGATTGACGACCAACCCCATACCGTGCGGGAGAACTGCTACTACGCCCTCTGGCAGTATCGATTACACTATTCCGAAGTGTACGTCTGAATTGACTCTCTTTGTATCGATCAGAGTGACAACAGCGAGAAATCCCATCAGGTGCAATTAATGTGGGATATCTATCGCAATGCTGAAGCGGTTGTGGCTTGTGTGGGACGTCATGCTGACAACAGCGAGCTGGCTGTTGCGGCGGCTCTCGAGGTGCACAACAGATATCATGGCTGGGCTGGACGGCGAGAGAGTGATACCCGCCAGTCGGATCGTTTTCTCGGGAAAGTTGAGCTCGTGAAGTGGGCTGCGTCCTGGGGCCAAGACAGAATGATCTTACTCCAACGAAGCCTACAGCACCTCTTGGCAAGACCTTACTGGGGTCGGCTATGGATTTTACAGGAGATCTTGGCTGCTGGACCCGCCAGAGAAGGAAGACTACAACTCCTATGCGGCCATGGTTGGATGTCGTGGCTCGGTCTGATCTGCACGTATAATTTCCTGGAACATCCGTGGTCGAGAGGTTACAACTACTCATATGACTTGAATCACTTGATGCATCGTGGGATGGCTAGCGGCGCTTTCGACAAGCTCATGACTTTGGGGGAAGCTGGCTTTCAGACTGTATGCGTATTTTGGTATACAAGCGAGCACTGTACTTGCGCCGATCCACGAGACAAGCTGTATGGCATATTAAATGCTCTGGATTGGCCCCACTGGTTCCCACGAATCAAGCCGGATTACAATTATACAGTTTGGGATGTATTGGTGCAAGTATTGCCGGCTATGCCACCGGGCCATATCCACAGAGCTATGCATGCTTTATCAATCGATCCCAAGGATGTCCCTTTCGACTTGTTGTTCAAGCGCAGAGTACTGGACCGGTCACTGAGCATTGTCGATAATGATGATCGTGACCTCCAAAGTTTGAAGCAACTCTTGAAGACTCCAATGACCAACTTGGCTCCCCTACAAACCCGAAAGGAACCCTTTGATCTTCATGCCTTACACCAATTACACCAAAGCTACTATAAACACCCCTGTGTTTTTGTGATTCGACCCGGTCAACTGCGATCCGACACCTTTGAGTTCCGGAATAAAGACATATCCCACGAGATTCGAGATTCTCTAAATGAGATTATCGGCCTGCCGTTGGACACTGCTGTTTCGATTTCGAAACAATGCTCTCCGCGAGGATTCTTTGTAAACTCAACGCGCTTTGCATCGGTTGACAACCGAGCTCGCGCGGGCGACCTACTCTTCCCAATTGGACGCTTCTTCCTAGTATTGCGCCACTGCGAAGGACAGACGTACTCTGTGATCGGTCAGGGCTTGGGGTACCCGACGCTGAAGAGGGGTCGAGACATCAACCACCCGCGTCTAAGTGATTTCTACCTTCACAAGAGGGTTCTATCTAGGGAGACTCTATCCAATACTTCTCGTGTGACGGGCAAGATTTTGCTTTCTGTGGAGGATCGGCTTGCGATGGACGCTCTGCTGCACGAAGATCGAACTGAGAGGGAAGACATACTTTGTTTCGTAATGAACTTAGTTACGAACCCGGAGAAATCTGTTACATGTGCTCTACTAGACTGGAATGATCAGCGCCCCATTTCGGACCACAACCGCCACGACGAAATTAAAGACGAGGGCGGGGAGGAAGAGGAACGTGACAGAAGGTGACGGGCGAGGCCCAATACAAACTATGCGATACAAACCATTTGAAACCACCGCTTACCCTCCCTCCCACCGACATTACTACCATTACATCCCCTCAAGCCCCTCTCAAACCAATGCAAACCAAACAAACCCAAACCAAACCACCCTCTCAAGCGCAATTCGCAACAAGCGAAATACTAGCCCGATGCCCCTTACAATCATCCATGACAGTCACAGAAGGATACTTCCTCACCTTGCCCTGCGCCCGACCTTCTCCTTCGCCCTCACGACCGCCACCATCTAGACAGCTCTCTTGGTACATCCTCGCAAACTCATCCGCTCCATCCATTGGTCCAGGTCCAAGCCCAGGCCCCTGCTCATCCTCAGCCTCAGCCTCAGCCTCAGGAGCAATCTCGTCCCCATCCTCGCTCTGAACTTCTGCATGATGATGATGCGAGGAAGAGGAAGGAGCAAAAATGCTCCCCTGCCGGAATCCCGCGCCCTCAGCAGAAACAAGCCGGAAACCACAAGTGTCATGCTCAATCGTCTCCTCCTTCGCCTCGCCCTTTTCACCATGTCCAGGTGAAGCAATCTCCCCACTACCAAACAACCTCGCCTCCACCTCCCTCAAATACGAATGATCGTGTCGATGCCCCTCACTCCCCGTCCCACTCGGCAACATTTCCAATTCCGGATGCAAGACATGTCCCGTACTCGCACTGACGCTCGTCCTCCGATTCCCCCCGTGGAACTGCACATCCCGCGTGAAGAGATCGGAGTAATACCTCGCGATCCGGCTGAAAGTCCTCGACGGAGACTTGATGAGGCTTGAGGCGACGCGTTTGGTATTCTGCATCGTGGAGTGCTTGCTCAGGGGAGATGACGCGTTGGGATCCGGGGGAGAAGCCCAATCGCGAGTCGAGATGGCGTCGTTGCGACCAGCAGAGCCGCAGCGTTCGTCGCGGGTATGCGAAGGGAAACGAGACCAGGAGGGCAGAGAAGTACCGATCCTCTTCGGCGTAGCAGGAGATTGCACTTCCGTCCGCGGAGATCGAGGCGTAGAAGCAGTCGTAGTACTCGGCTTGCGAGTCTCCATCACGGGTCCAAGTCCAGGGACACCCCCATCCGGCGGTCCCTCCTCCTCTTCTTCCTCAGTAACGACCATATGCGGCAAACTCCCCTTTCCCCAATTCGTGCCCCTGAATGAAGTCGGCTGCTGCTGCTGCTGAGAGACCATGCTTTCCTTCCTCTTACTCTCACTCCGGAACAGCGCCTTTTCCTGCTGATGCTTCTTCAAAGCAGCCCCCATCAAAGTCTTCCCGGCCTCATCCAGAGCATGAGCCCTCGACAGTTTCCTCCTCAATCTGCCCGAAGACTGAGCGCGCTGCAATTCCTCGTCTTCGGAGATCTCTACTAATTCCCTCGTCCTCGCGCTCTCATTGATAGAAGACGGCAGAGGACTGACTTGCGAGGACCCACGTCTCCGACTATCTCCCCCAACACTCAGACTCCTCTCATACTCAACCAGCGTCCCGCTCCTATCCTGCGGAACAGCCAAATGACTCACCGTCATAGACCGGCGATGCTGAGGGTTCTCCGCAAGCTCATACTGCACCGTAATTTCGTCCGCAGGCCCATCGAAACCGCCAGAAGACCGAACAGGAGTCCTGTAAAGCAAGACCGGCGAGGAGATGCTCCGGATAGCCTTACCAGCACCTTTCCGACTTCCAGGCCTCAGAAACCGAAAAATGGAGCGTCGCTTTTTGACGGCCTTCTTGGGCGGAGATTTGAATGTGCTCGGAGAATGGCCGGATTCTGGCGTGGGCGGTAAAGGCTTCTGGAGACTCTTGATCGATAGTACAGGCGAAGTAGGCGGCGACATTTCTCGTGCTTGTTTCGCTTCGACCTGCTCGTCATTCTTCAACGGCCACTCTGCCCTCAAAGCAGAATCCATCCTCATCGGGATCTCTGGTCTCGTTTCCTCCGCACTGCCCCGTCGACTATAGATCGAAGGACTGTAAACATCCTCTCTCGCGCCTTCAAGCCTTTCCAGAATAGTTGTGGGCGGTCCAACCCGCGAGCTCGGCTGCCGACGATGCCTCGTACTCACAATTTCAGGCGTGATGCTGCGATTATGATTCCACCGATGCGATTGCAAGAATTCCGAAACATCTTCCTGATTGGTCTCCGAAGAAAGCGCAGTCGAGACGCGGGAGATACACCGCGTTCCATTCCGAATAGCTTCGAGGTCCAGATGAGTACTGTCGGATCTCTCCAACCCAGCGGGCGGTGGCGATGCAGGAGCTTCACCTGTAATCGTCTCCTCAGATGAAAAGCAGTGCCGCATCGGCGTATCATGACGAATGACACTCGCCGTGGAATCGGGTCTTGCTCCAGAACTTTCACCTCTCACTGAAGAAACCGCCGTCGAAGGTCCAGGATTCATGACATCGTCAATAGCCTTGGAAAGAACGGTTCCAATACTCAGACTCGTATTGCTCTTGCCCCTGGATCTCATGCGTGGCGTAGCAGTAGCCAGGAAAGGAATCGTAGCAGCCCTCTGCTTGAGCTCAGTCGCGCCAGAAGTAGTCAAAGCCTGTCCAATCAGGCCATACGACTTAGTCCTCCTCATCGGCTCCCGGTAAGGCAGAGGTTGCAGATCGCCCAGCAACATTGGAGAACTGGCAGCTCGGGGGAGAGAAGAGCCATCACTCTCCGTCAGAGGTCGACGAGCCGCAACTCGGAAAGCAAGGTCGGTAAGGTCATGATCGCAGTCAAACAAACCAATCCTGAACCCCAAATCACAAGTCAGCATTCAAACATCCAAATACAAGGAGAGGCAAGAGGAGCGAACCTCTTAGAACTCCCCCTCGCTGGGACCATCACTCGCTCCTCCTCCACAAGCCTAATACCTGCACCGTTCCCATCCCCCTTCGAACAACCGACCCCATCCAAAACCTCCGGCGTGCTCAAAACATGCGCATCCTCATCAAACCATGCTTCCTGCTCCTGCTCCTCTTCCCTCACATGCCCCTTCCCCTTCGATGACTTCAAACTCATCCGACTCTTCCCATTCCCCAATTTCAGCCTCACTTTATCCCCGAGCGTAGGACTCCGCAGGATATCGAAATCCCGCGCCCGCTCACCGAGACTCTTCCTCGCGTGGCGAAAGGGGGTCAGAGCGTGAGGATGGTCTTCCGGGAGACTGGCAAGCGCGAAGAGCGGATTGCTGAGGTTGGTGAAGTCGGGAGTGCGGTATGGTGGGACGGGGGATTCGACTCCAGAGCGGGAGGAGGGAGCCGTGCAGCAGAAGCGGGAAGTCATCTCGCTGGCCTTGTCCACTCGTTCTGAGGCGGCGCCGGTGATGCGTGTGAAGTGAGATACAAGTAATATGTTGAAATGGTAACGGTAATTCTCAAGCCAAGAGACAAGACCAAGCGTCCAAGAGAAGAAGAAAAAGACAAGACAAAGCAATCCAAGCGTGTCGCGGGTGGGTGTGTTGATGGTGAGGATTGAGAGCAGCAAGAACAGAACAGTCAAGTCAACACACCGTGGGCAGAACGACGCCTTCTTGAAAATGTCAGGTACCGAATGAAGGTACGACTTCCAGCTTCAACAAAATCACATTAGGGCAAGCACAACTACCTAGAGCTAGATAGCCAGCAGCGCCTACTCATGTAATTTTCCTTTCAACTATTCTAGTCGAAGCAATGGCCATCGAGACAGGGCAAGTAAGAGCCCACATCATCAATGGCCGCCGGCCGAGCTGTTGAGGTCGCCGGCTTCCATCATCATCAAAAGAGAACTTTTTTTCATCGTCCCATACATCATCACATCTCCTCTCGTCTCCTGTTCCTCCCTGTTGAACTCCATCGCTGATAAGACGTTGAGTAGTAAACGTGGGTATCATAAGTGTTGAAAGAGGCAGCGAACAAAGTGCCAGCCCCAGTAGAAAGCAAAAACAAAAAAGCACATCTATCCGTCCCAGAAGGAGACCAATCGCCGTTGGTCATGCCTCGGAGGCGCCGTTCAAACTCAGTCAAGCCGAACCGTACCCCCGTAAATCATGCAGACATGATCTATTTGGCGTGCTGCTCACGGAAGTACTTGGCGGCGTTGACCATGTTGGTCAGAGCGGCCTTGGTCTCCTTCCATTGACGGGTCTTGAGACCACAGTCAGGGTTGATCCAGAGCTGCTCGGGCTTGAGGTACTGCAGCATCTCCGAGATGCGGTCGCGGATCTCCTGCTCCGATGGCACACGTGGGCTGTGGATGTCGTAGACACCTGGGCCAATGTGACGGGGGTAGGCCTCGTCGATGAAGACCTTGAGGAGCTTGGCGTCCGACTTGCTGTTCTCGATGGAGAGGACGTCGGCATCGAGGGCGGCGATGGCGTGGAAGAAGTCCTGGAATTCGGAGTAGCAGAAGTGAGAGTGGATCTGAGTGGAGTCCTCGACACCAGCAGTGGACAGCTTGAAGCTGTCGACGGCCCACTGGAGGTACTTCTCACGCTCAGCGCCGGCACGGAGGGGAAGACCCTCACGCAGAGCTGGCTCATCGACCTGGATGACGTTGACGCCGGCCTTCTCGAGGTCGACGACCTCGTCGCGGAGGGCGAGGGCGAGCTGAGCAGCCTGGATGGACTGGTGGACGTCGTCACGAGGGAAGGACCATCGCAAGCAAGTGATTGGGCCAGTAAGCATACCCTTCATGGGCTTCTTGCTGATGCTGGCGGCGTACTTGCTCTCCTTGACGGTCATTGGCTTGGGACGAGAGACGTCACCGACGAGGATTGGTGGACGGACGCATCGCGAGCCGTAAGACTGCACCCAGGCGTGGGTGGTGAAGACGTAGCCGGAAAGCTGCTCACCGAAGTACTGGACCATGTCGTTACGCTCTGGCTCACCGTGGACGAAGACGTCGAGACCCAGCTCCTCCTGGATGGAGACGCAGTCCTGGATCTCCTTCTCAATGAACTTCTCATACTCCTCGGGTGTGATCTCGCCCTTGGTGAACTTGTTGCGCATGATACGGATGTCCTTGGTCTGAGGGAAGGAGCCGATGGTGGTAGTTGGGAATTCCGGCAGGTTGAGGTGGGCCTTCTGCGCGGCGATACGGGTGGGGAAAGGGCTCTTGCGCTCGTAGTCGGACTTCTGAACCTTGGAAATGCGCTCCTTGACGGCGGGGTCGTTGGTCCTCTTGGACTCGGCACGTGACTTGTGGCTCTTGGCGTTGGCTTCGAGCTCGGCGCGGACGGAGTCTGGGCCCTGGTTGACAGCCTTGGCGAGAATGGCGACCTCGACGGCCTTCTCGCTGGCGAAGGAGAACCAGTCGCGAACCTCCTCGTCGAGGTTCTTCTCGCTGGCGAGGGTGTGTGGAGTGTGGAGGAGAGAGCTGGAGGTAGCCACGATGACACGGTCCTTGCCAAGCTTCTGGATGGCGTTCTCGAGCAGCTCAATGGCGCTCTTGAACTTGGTCTTCCAAATGTTACGGCCGTCGACGACACCGGCCGAGAGAATCTGCTTGGGGCCGAGGTGCTGGATGACCTTCTCGAGCTGTTCCGGGTGGCGGACCAAGTCGACGTGCAGAGCGTAGGTGCCGGTCAAGGCAGCGTCGACAACGTCAAAGTTGTGGACGATGTCACCGAAGTAGGTGGCGAGGACGAGCTGTGGGCCCTTGTTGCCTTGGAGAGCAGTGAGCTTCTCGTAGGCAGGCTTGAAAGCCTGGCGGACCTTGGATGGCAGGTCGAAAACGAGGACGGGCTCGTCGATCTGGACCGTGTCGGCACCGGCGGCCTTGAGCTTGGTGAGGAGCTCCTCGTAGACGGGGAGAAGGTTGTCGAGGAGAGTGATTGGGTCGACGCTCTGGCCACGGTCTGCCTTACCGAGGGCCAGGAAGGAGACGGGACCGAGGATGACGGGGCGGGTGGTGATGCCTAGAGCCTTGGCCTCGTTGAACTCGGCGATGGGCTTTGGGTTCTCGGTGAGGGTGAAGGTCTGGTTGTCCTGCAGAGTGGGCTTGACGTAGTGGTAGTTGGAGTCGAACCACTTGACCATCTCGAGGGAGGGAACATCGACGTTGCCCTTCTGGTGACCACGGCCCATGGCGAAGTACTCGTCCAATGGGTGCAGCCTGTGCTTGCTGTAGCGCTCTGGGACGGCGCCGAAGAGCTGGATGTGGTCGAGGACGTGGTCGTAGAAGGCGAAGTCATTGCTGGGGATGACGTCGACGCCGGCGTCCTTCTGGATCTTCCAGTGCTCCTCGCGCAGCCTCTTGCCCTCGGCGATGAGGTCGTCGCGGGACAGCTTCTCGCCCCAGTAGGCCTCGTTGGCCTTCTTCAGGTCTCGCAGGCGTCCCATGCGAGGGAAGCCGAGAACGGAGGATTGAACCATCTTCGCGGTGGAAGTGGGAGTGAGGAGGGTGTGATGGTGGTGGTGGTGGGGAGTGTTTCTTCTTGCAGTTCAGTGCTCCTCGTGTGTGAAGTGTCAGCGGGTGCACTGTCAGGCGGTGGTATCGGGAGATGTAGAGTGAGAAGGGAGGGTGAAGGCGAAGGGAGGGAGGTGGGTGTGGATTGTAGGAGGGAGGAAGGACGGAGAGAAAAAAGTGCGTTTTGAGGGGTGGTGACCCCACTAAGCAAATGGATGGAAGTGGAAGTGGAAAGCTTTCAGTGAGAGCCCCTCGCCGGCCGGTGACACCATCTGCGCCAATCAAATGCCCAATCAAATGCCCCCGCCCGCTTCCCTCCGATCCTCCCTCCGCGTCTTCGCCTCAGGGTCTCGTCTCAACGCACAAGAAGAGATGAGGTGATGATGAACTTCCCGATCGACTTGAATAGGACAGGACTGTGGGACAGGAACAACTCCATCATCACGCTTCCCCAGCTTCATCAAGGTCACAGACGGATGGATGACTCCCGTGAAACAGAATCTCCCTTGCGATTGTTCCTTCCCCCAATGCGGTCGGTCCCCCCGGAGCCGTTTTCCTTGTCACTCCCACCACCTTCATCACCACCTCCAAGCTCTCCCCGGACCGCCGGACCCTCAATCAGCTCACACCCAACTCCCCGAACATCTTCCACCTCGTGTGTCCCGCAATGCATGGGGAACGAAACGTCGCGTCGTGGCCATTTGTCAACACTCCGTAGGCGCCGTCACATCAAATCGCGACGCCATCTCCCTTGGGCCAAACATGCCTTGTCCCACTGTCACCTCCCACGCGGCCTCTTCTGCTCACCGTATGAATCATAACGGAGAGTTCGAGGACAACAGCTGAGTGAGAATGCTCGAGAGCGGCGTGACGGTGCAGACATGAGAAGGTGCTGATGTAAAGCAAGAACCGCATCTTCACCTCAACCGCTGACTGCATACAACATCCTATCGCCAACCCCATCCCGGCCACGTTGCGTCTCACGGCCTCCCGTCTGCTCACAGCTGCTATGAACGTTGGAGTGGTACCTCTGCACAAGATCTCGGACCATCTACATACCGCAGCTAGCAAGAGACCGTACACAGGAATCAGCCATGCCGCTGTGAAACGATCGATGATATACTCCATCGGCTTGTCACACGGTCTCGACTTCTCGAGACTTCGACACGAGCCTTCCTCGGCTACCAGTGCACGGCTGAGCAAGCGTCGACATTATGAATCACGTACAACTCCAAGAGACGGGAACACATTGTTGAGGCAAGGATACAGGAGCTTCGTAAATGCCTGCTTTCAGTATGAGATCCTGAAGCCTTGCCCCGCCTAGCACGTGCATCTGGTGAAGAGAGCGTGAGCATGGATTGCTGGACGTGAGACGGGATCATGCGATTGTATCCTGCTAGGAACGCCGAGGCCAACAAACTCTACCAGACGTAAAGGCGTGTACTGAGCAAAGAGCAACGAAATCATCTTCATGAATCGATGTTCTTGCTCTCCTCGGTCCCAATTCACGCTCAACCAAATTTCTTTCCACACCCTACGTCAAGTCCAATGCTTTAGACTTCCGAGGTGCTAGCAAAGTGCTAGTGTACCGATCGCCGGTGATCGGAGGCGGACAGTCACGTGACTGAGTCGGAGATCCGAGACCGATAGCGACACGTGTGAGACCCAAGTGCAGTCAATGCTCCCGCCGACGACATCCGGGCCACGCGACAGGCGAGAACTTCCGACTTCCAACTCGCAAGTGAAGGGCAAAACTTTCAACAGACGAGTCGCCTTCCAATCTGGATGACTCTCACCAACTTACCGCCATGCGACGGAGTCAGGACAATGAGACCACCAATCCCGACTCCCGCGAACCGCTGCTCAGATCTTCTACCGAAGCAGCACTCGCCGATCAGGTCACACAACCTCATGCACCCCGTCCAGGATCAGGATCCATCTTCCACACAAGCCCCATAATCCACTTCCTGACCCTCTCGGCCGGAATCTCCGGCCTGCTCTTTGGCTACGACACGGGCGTCATCTCTTCCACCCTCGTGTCAATCGGCTCAGACTTATCAGATCGCCCCCTGACAACCACCGACAAGAGTCTCATCACCGCAATCACCAGCCTCCTCGCGCTCATCTCCGCTCCGTGGACGGGATATTTTGCTGATAAATATGGTCGCCGCTCCGTCATCTTCTTCCCGGCAATCTTCTTCATCGCTGGAGCCGTGATCCAGGCCATCTCGACCGAAGTATGGGTTATGGTATGCGGGAGGGCGATTGTGGGTGCTGCGGTGGGAGTCGCGAGTGGGGCGGTGCCGCTGTACATCACGGAACTGGCGCCTGCTGAGATGAGGGGCAGACTGGTGACGGTGCAGAGTCTCTTCATCACGGGAGGCCAAGTGGTGGCGTATCTGGTGGGATGGATACTTGCGGGTCTGCCGAACGGATGGAGATGGATGGTTGGAGTGGCAGCTCTGCCGGCGATCCTACAGTTGGGACTACTCGCGAGAATGCCCGAGACACCGAGATGGTTGGTGCAGAAAGGGAGAGAAGAAGCAGCGAGGGCGGTGTTGATGAAGATATACACGGGACAAGACGAAGGAGACAGGCAAGAGACTGTCAGAAGCGTGCTCGCCAACGTACAATCCGAAGTCACGGCCTCGGACAAAATCCATTCCAACGACGACGAAGAGTCCAGCATCCTCAAGGAACTCCTCACAATCCCATCAAATCGACGAGCCCTTATCATTGCATGTATGCTCCAAGGTCTCCAGCAACTCTGCGGATTCGTAAGTCTCCTCCCCATCCCACACCCCCGACGACCCTCCCCTGGCCGGGGGCCCCCCCGTGGCCCGCCCGCGCGCGGGGACGGCGCCGGCCCCCGCGGGGGCCGGGGGGGGGGGCGCGCGGGGGCGGGCGATGTACTTCTCCGCCACCATCTTCTCCCTCGTAGGCTTCACCTCCCCCATCGGAACCTCCCTCTCCATCGCGACCACAAACTTCCTCTTCACCGTCCTCGCATTCACCAAAATCGACACCATCGGCCGCCGGAACATCCTCCTCTACTCCATCCCCTTCATGGTCCTCGGCCTCGGCACATGCAGTTTCGCATTCCAACACATACACATGGGCAACAATGAACCCTCATCATCACCCACCACCTCCACTCCCCAAACGACAACATGGCCCACCATCTGCCTCCTCCTCAGTCTCCTCCTCTACGTCTCCACCTACGCCCTCGGCCTCGGCTGCGTCCCCTGGCAGCAGAGCGAACTCTTCCCCCTCCGCGTGCGCTCCCTCGGCTCCAGCTTCGCCACCACAACCAACTGGTCGTCCAACTTCCTCATCGGCATCACCTTCCTGCCCATGCTGGAGGTTTTCGGGCCGAGCTGGACGTTCGCCGCGTACGCTCTCGTCTGCTTCGTGGGGTGGTGGGCCGTGTGGGCGATATATCCGGAAACGGCAGGGTTGGAGTTGGAAGATGTGGGCGGGTTGTTTGAGAGCGGGTGGGGGGTAAGCGAGAGCGTGAGGATGTTTCGGGAGAGGGGGCGGGCGAAGATGGGGACGTGAAGGGGGATGTATGCGTGTTAGTCCCATGTATACAGTGTTGCGAACAAGTTGCTGTACACTGAAGCTTGGTGTCGTTCTTCTGCGAGAGCTATCAAAGCCATCCCATGCCGGACCAAATCAGCCAGCACAAGCGTCTGTGGAGATGTCCAAGTCGCAGACCCCATCTCACCACCTTCTCGATACCTCTCGTCATCTAATAACTGAACTTGAACCCTCCATTCGCACAGACGACGGAACCAGTGCACCATGCAGCATCAGGAGTACAGAGCATCGCGACCACACCCGCAACCTCATAATCATAAGCCTAAAAAGTTCAAACAAGACCGAATCATCAGCAAAATCCATCACAACACGATACCACCACAAAAGGGAAAAAGGGGGGAAAAGGGGGGAAACAGCAAACTCACCGGCCTCCCACCCGCATTCTCCGCCTTCGCCACCAAATCCCCCCGATCCACCTCCGGCCGAATCGCAGCCAGAGGCGTATTCCGCGTCCAACCCGCCATCTTGGCCTGGAACGCATCCGACGTCCCCGCGTACATATCCGTCGCCACGGGGCCCGGGTTGACCGCATTCACCGTCGCGCGCTCGGCCAGCTCCCGCGCCCAGCTGCGCGTCATGGCCTCCAGCGCCGCCTTGCTGCCGCCGTACATGCCGTCGCCCTCGAAGCCCAGACTGGAGCTGACGGAGCTGAGATTGACGACGCGCCCGCTGCGGTCGTGGGGCAGGTGGGGCAGCACGGCCTGCAGGAGCATCAGGGGACCCCGGACGTTGACGTGGTACAGGCGCGCGAATTCTGCCGCCGTGCACTCTTCCAGGCGGTTCTTCGAGGCCACGCCCGCGTTGTTGATGACGATGTCGACGCGCAGTTGGCCGGTTTTCGGGTGCGAGAAGTGGGATCGCGCCATGTCGACGAGGAAGCGGGGGCCGGTTTCGGTTCCCATGTCTGCCTGCACGGGAAGACAGGAGACGCCATACTTGCCCTGGAGGTCGTTTGCGAGCTTTTCCGTCTTGTCCTGCGATGTGTCGGAGGTATAGTTCATGATGAGATTGCTGCCCTTGCTGGCGAGATTCTCGCAGATGGCCGCTCCAATGCCGCGGGAGGAACCGGTGATGATGGCCAGTTTGCCCTCGAGGACGCGGGAGCCATTGGCGCCTAGGTTGGTGGAGGAGGCGGTGCGGAGGTATTCTGGTCGAGACATGGTTGATTGCTGGGAGAGATTATTGTTGATGAGAAGGATCCGTCTGTCTGGTGAAGAGGAGGTCCAGAGGTACCCACTATTTTGACTTTCTAATCCATGCTGAGTTGAGGTGTGCCTGCAGATTCAGCCTGAGATGCCTGATTGAGGAAAGCTGCCTTGTGGAATAGCTTGAATATTAGCTAGCAGGTACGTTGGGAAAGACCGCAAATACATCTGTTGCAATGTATAGTCAACGATATATATTTGTAATCGAACAGTAGCCCATCAAGATCGCTTCCAGCAGATCACCAAGCCCGAAATCGTGAATCGCCATCCTCTCACTATATCAGTGACAACAAAAGACATCCCGGCAGAAGTGTAGATGTGTTGTAGGAGGATCAGCGATGAGTGGGTCTTACATTCCTACCCGATGAGTACAGGGAGCGAGCCGGAGTCGAGATGAACGCCTGACTCTGACGCGAATGGCTTTGCCGTGAGCCTCGAATACGGGCCAGCTGAGGGTCGTGAATGTCGCTCAGTGGTACGCGTGAGGTACCTGTTGGCAGCGTGATACGGCTGCGATGAGAAGACGCTGGCATCTGATGATATGATGCGCCAACAGAGGGCGGGACCGCTGGCCGCCTGAACAGAGTCTGTGAGCTCGGAGAAGGAGCGTTATGTGTCATATGATGAGTTGAGGCAGCGTTGGAGTATTGTGGCTGAGGAGCACAGAAAGACTGTTGGGGCTGAGAGTGTCTGTTGGGGACAACATATACGGGAGATGCAGGACGCTCTTGCAGCACTCGCCGATTTGCTGTTGCTCTTGGTTCGTCCGGAACATCCCAAAACGGCACGTCCGAGTCATTTGCTGGTGGTCGTTCGCGAATGGCCAGTTGTGTTGATGCAGGGTGACTTCCAAAGTAGGGACTTGCCGCTGGAGCCGATGCTGCTGCGAACGGCCGACGTTCTGGGCGTGCCTTGAGTGCATAGTTCGAATTTGAAGCCATGGAAGACCGCCGAGGGGATAAGTCTTGAATCCCTCGATAAGCTTGGTCACCGTATTGCTCAGCCATTGTATCGTATGACGGATGGAAGTCCTGTACTTTGGACGAATAATAGGGCTTCGGCTGGATTGGCGGTGGTAGGTCGTGGTCGTCTTGATGTGGAGGAGCGTACTGTTCCACCCGGCCTCTCCGACGAGGTGGCTCTGACAGGAGGCCGTTTCTCGGCGGTATCAGCTCCTGTTGCTGCGACAAGTGATCGAGATGGGCGCCGTGATACTGATTGCCCATTGAAGCGTCTTTTGCAATGCCGTGCCTGTATTCGACACGCTGAGTTGACCTGAATGGCAGATCTTGGCTCTCCGGACGTATCTCATCTGCCGCTTGGCTTCTACTGGAGCCTTCCAGCTCGCCATGACGACCTCGCATGGCCCGTCCGTATGCTGGTTCTGGGCGCTGTGAGCCGCTGAGGTCTCCCGCGCGAGAGGAAGGCAGAGGAGCATTTCGCGAGTGCATGTTGCGGTCGCTCTGCAACGGTACGTGGGCGTCGGAATAAAGTCTACTGCGCTCGTCCATTGGTAGCTCCTGGATTGAACTTCGGACGGGTCGTGAGTGATGACTTCTCTGGTGACTTGACAGCCCTGACGTGGACGGAAGATACGCTCGTTCACCTGTCTTCTCTAATGGTAGCGGAGGAGGCATCATCGGTTGACTTTCGTGAAGACGCTCCTGAGGATGATGCTGCTCTTCATACTCATAGCCATCTTCCATCAGGCGTTTGCGCTTTTGCGACGAGGAGCTTCGTTGGTTTTCGCTAGCTAAGGTACGTTAGTTCAGCTCGAGTAACGTTCGACAGCACACCCACTCAGTGTAGCCGGGCTTTGCGCCGTGGCCCCATCCGTGAGGTTCTTGGAATGGTCGCCTCGATGTGGCCACGACGCTTCAGCGGGCTTGCTCAGGGCGAACGAGTAGCTTCTCCGAGGAACCTTGAAGCCAAGGTTAACAAGCTGTGTGCGCATGGACTCGATGTCCCTAGGCTTGTTAGCCGGCGATACTGTACAGCGGCAGATAACACTCACTCCTCCATGGCGTGAAATGATGCAAGAGCCGAATTGATGACTTTCCGCCGCTGTTCCCACTTTTCCAACTTCACTTCCTTCTTCTCGAGCTCGGTGATCCGTGCCTTCAGCTCCGCTTCTCTCTTCTGCCATTGCTTGCGCTCTTGATGATGGTGCTTTTCAAGAGAGTGACGTTTTCGCTCGGCAGACCTCCACTTCTGGGTCGCTCCCTTTGCGTAGAGGTCGAGGTTGAAATATTGAAACTGTCCAAATTCAGTAAATGTACAGAAATCGCTCGAAGTGCAGGCATACTCTGATGGCATCATCCAGATCATCTCTGCTGTTCAGCTTCTCCGGCGGACATATGAACCACTTGGGCGGGACGATGTCCTGATATTGGCCTCGGCTCAGCCCTCGGATCCAGAAGACCCTTCGCTTTGTGCGAATATTCTTCACCTTGACGCATACCGGGCAGACCACCTCAGCATGCTCAATACCGGCGGGATGAAAAGGGATACCTGCAGCCTTATCAGCTCCCGAGGACTTCCGGGTTCTTGGTTCTGTTCCATCAACCTACCTCCTCCTTCCAAATGCTTGCCGCAGAAGACATGCGAGCAGTCTGCAATCCACATCTTTGTGACTGCACCTTCCTCTTCTCCATCGCCGCTGTGAAGGCCGTGCTCATGTGCATCAGTAGCGTATGCCTCGGAGACTGTTCTCTGGCAGACGGCGCACGCGAACACGAGGTCCAACGTGCTGACATCGTCGCTGGAACGGTCGCTCGACGTACGACGCGGCGCCATGCCATCTGAAGAGAATATCAACAATGAGCTGTGCAGTGAGAATGTCAAGATAAGGGAGAAGAAGGTGGGAGAAGTGAAAGACGAGTTGTGTTCCCGTTGCGCTCGTGGGCAGGCAGTCGCGCGCTGCCACGCTCCTTCCTCGACCCAATACGGACACGCCCTCACGTGCCAACAGCTCTACACTTGGTATCTTCCCCAGGCCTTTTCTAACCGAAATTTAACAGTCCATCTATCCTTTCAGCTGAGATGTTTCGATGCGGATTGGGGAAGATACTTAGCCAGCGGTTTCGCCCGGCAGACACGCTCCGAAAAGATCCAAGCAAGGCTCCACAAGTGCTTTGCAGGCATCTCAAACGTTGAAGATGCAGATGGTTTGCAGACGTATCTTTATTGAGCCATATCTACACCACTCTCCGCTGCAACGTCTCCGATCTGAACTGTAGGGAATCTCACTCAAATAAAAGTGCGGCAAGGGTAGCTGCACATTATTAGCGATGCTCTTTGACAACATATGAGCGTGGAGTACATACCTAGGGCCATACGTCTGCTCTTCAGAGCCGATCAAAGTATACCGCTTGCCCTGCGGATGTACCGACGCAGGGAGCGGTGGAAGTCCATCTGGTCCCAACACACTCTTCGCAACGCCCTTGTTCTTCTGGAAGTAAGTCGCCAATCCTCTCTCGCCTTCCTCCTTGACCTCCACAAGCTGTGTCTTGCCCGCGTCTCCAATCTTCAACACCTCCTCATTTGGCGCCGCGGCAGAGCCCACGGTCAGCAATGCCACCACATCCGGCTGCGAGACGACCGAGAGCTTCGGGTATGATCTTCTGGTATCGCGTTTCCAGTATGGGTTCTCGGCGATATCGCCGGCTGGCACGGTGACAGGATCGTCGTAGGCCTTGGGGTCGTTACCGCCGGGCGGAGGGTTTCGGAATTGAGGGTTGAGAGGTACACCGGATGATCGAGCAGGGTCAATTGCGAAGAAACTGTGGACCTTAGACCAGAAGCCTTGCGGTTCGAGGGTGTATTTCTGCGCATGATCAGTGTCCGTTCGGCATCTTGTTGTTAGTCGGTGTTCGCGGTCCAGGGGGATGCGCACCTTTGCCTGGGTGGCCTTGGCCAGGGCCGACCGAGCGGCGTTCTTCGCGCCTGCGGAGGCCATCCTGACAGTACGGTGGTCTGTTGGAGGGGAGAAGATGTGCTGCGATGGCGACTGCGAGGTTCAAGATGTTGTCCAATGGCAAGGTTGATGATTGAGCTGCTGCCGACGCCAAGACTGCATGTTCAGCAGGGAAGGTGGGGCGACGAGCCGCCGAGGTGACTTCACTTCGACGAGCCTCACATGTCTCGTCCGCTTACTCTCTTTGAACAGCATTCCTGTGAGAGTTAAAACATTTGATGAGTCCAAAAACCTCATTGATACCCATCTGAAGGCTTGTGGATCATCGACGCCCCGGACTCACCACCAGCGATGAGCGAGAGCATAATGGCATCGTCGAGCCTCAAGTCGCTAAGAAATCTCATCCCAGAGATGGAATCCGCTCTGAAATCGTTCCAAAGCTCTCAATCGCAATTCATAGTCCTCCGGACGGTCAACCCTCAAGGAGACACCAAGTACGTTTCTCCCAAGACACTGTTCATCCTGGACTCATCCTTCAATCCACCATCAATAGCTCACCGCACTCTGGCCAAATCCGCTCTCACCAGATCTGTCCTGGAGAACTACGAATCTCCCCATCGGTTGCTGCTTCTCTTCGCCGTGATGAACGCAGACAAGGCGCCTTCTCCAGCCGCGTTCGAGCAAAGACTTTCAATGATGACCGTTTTTGCACACGATCTACTCGAGAGCTTGAGTGCAGACTCACAGACTACCCCCGTACCAGTCGACATTGGCGTCACCACTGCACCATACTATACAGACAAGTCAAGCGCCATCGAGACGGAAGGAGCAGAATGGTATCCGACCAAACCGATACATGTCCACCTCGTCGGTTTTGATACTCTTACGCGATTCTTCGCTGCAAAGTATTATCAAAAGTTTAATCCACCGTTTTCTGCCTTGAATCCATATTTCGATGCTGGACACAGGCTTCGCGTAACGCTCAGACCGGATGACGATCATGGAAGCGTAGATGAACAGCGAAGCTTCCACAAGAGACTCGAAGACGGCGAAATGGAGAAGGACGGCGCGAAGAAAGAATGGGCGAATCAAGTTGAGCTTGTCTCTCCTAACCCCAAAGCCGGCGTCAGCTCTACGAAAATTCGGAGGGCGGCGAAGAGCGGCGATTGGGAGACCGTGAAGGAGCTCTGCACGCCCAGTGTTGCCGAGTGGGTGCAGAATCACAGGTTGTATGAGGAGGATGCTACAGGTGCAAAGATGGCATGAGGGGAAGGTCTCTTCTCTTGCCCAATAGGTCTTTCTCCGTACCAGCGCGTGCTTGCTCTCGTTGATGTCTAACATCCTCGACATCAATCAGTCTAAAGTTGAACGCCAGGTCTTGTCGTGCAGACTGCAAAGTCAGCCTCTACCCCCGACAATCCCTTCCACACGCCAGTATGAACAACAACGTCACCGAATATCTTTCAATGGGTCACCAGCTCATTCGACGCGCGGGTATGCTACTGTTGTCTCGGCCAGTCACCAAGACTCATGGCACAAGCGACTTGCGCGGCAAGAATGGTTGAGCAAACCCACCGTAGGCCTACCACTGAGAGAAGCCCTTTTCGGATCGAAGGCTGCGAGCGCACCGTCTGGCCAAGCCGAATGTTAGCCTTATTCCATCCAGCAAAGGGCCGATCTGAAGGAACACGCGCTCACGCAGCATTTGACTTCCGATCAGTGGCCAGGATCGAGCGTCAATCTGATGTTTCAATAAGTTCTATCCTAAAGTATGGGCATGTCATTAGTGCAAGTAAGCGATCTCATACTCCAATAGACCGCGGTTGGGCGTCCAAAGACGATGACGGCGGATGCGACTTTTTCCCAGCATGAAGAGTCACGATGAGAGAAGAATAGAGGCATACGGAAGGAAAATACGGTACAGACGCGCGGCGTCCGTGTGAGCTTTGAATGCGTTGTGGGGAAACAAAGGAGTGAAAATTGCGAATGCCGAATGTCCAGAAACAACTTTTGTCTCTGCCTCTGTACCTCCGCTTGTAGAAGGGCAAAGTGTGAACTTCGTCGTGCTGCATGAACCCTCATAGTCGGCGGGATATTCGTCGTTCATGTCGTGAGGCACCTCATGCATTCGTTTTTGTATAGAGTGTGTGCCCTGCGTCCACTGGCGCCCGCGGAGCCGAAGCCAATCAGACCCTGGTCTTCTCGTCGCCCCTTCAACTTCAGGATCGTCTTGTTTACGTAGCTCTGCTCTCCCGTTCGCATCTCTCAAAATTCTACTGTAATTCCATCTTCACGACCCATTGTATGACCTTACGACCCTCACATCCGACGCGCCGCACGAAATCAGTCACAGCTACACCTTAATCCACCGTTCTCAGGCTCGCCGTCGCCATCCAACACCATCGTAGTTGCATCTCCCCAAACAGTGGCACAAATGGAGTAACGACTCACGACGTCAAATATTGTACCGCAACTGCCTTGGATCGCGCATTCGCCATGGGCGGGAAATACAGATCGCTTTCGGGCGCGTGGGTAGACCCGGAAAAGCAGCGCAACAGCAACGAGTACGACTACGACAGCGAAGAAGCTCCCTCTCTTGTTTCCTCCCGCAACGCCTCCGCCTCATATGCGCCCATGCTCGGCCACAAGCACGATACACGAAGGAGACCCACACTGGCATATCATCTTCCGCGGCGGCGCTTTAGCAGATACTTCACGCTTGCGCTTACGAGCATCCTGTTCGTCTTTGTCTACTATCTCGTCCAGTCTTCCTGGGCGAGCCGAGCAGAAGTGGAACTGGGTCTGAAGAAGCCGCCTCCGCCTCCTCCGGCGTGGGAGCAGTTTCCATTCTTGAAGAGGTATCATGGGGGCATACGAACTTTAGTGAGCAGGAAAGAGAATGTACCAGAGTATCCTGCAGATGATGATGTAGAAGTGCAAAGGTTGAAAGAGGCCGCGTTGGAGCAAAAGCAGAAACAGGATGCAGAAGCAGCACGAGAGAAGGGCTTTCAGAAACGAGATGGACTACCTGAACCCCGAAGATTCGATCCCAGAGTGGGTGTGAAAGATTTTGGACAGCCTGTGAAATGCTACATGGATAACAGGACGCAGACGGAGATACCGCAGTTGCTGGGCTATAATGGCGTACCGAGAGGCTTTCCTGAGCCTGTGATGGGCTCCTACGAAGTGCTTGGATTGCGCAATGACATGTGTTTTGAGCGCTATGGGAGACTTGGACCGTATGGATTTGGATACAGTAGCAAATTTGGCGGCAGCAGCGCCGGTTTGGAAGGTGAAAGAGAAGGCGCAGAGAAGGTCTGGGGAGATGAGCTGGAGATCGACTACACCAAAGTGCGGTGGGCCAGTGTTCAGCAGCAATGTGCAGCAGCGAACGCGCACAGATTCAGGCCGACGTCGCAGGAGGATACAGTCGATTTTAGTTCGATGAGAAGTGGAGAAAGGAGAAGAAGAATCGCGGAGAAGACAGCCGGATCAGCTTCACAGACAGCGTCGCAGTTGCAGAATCGCACGGTGGTGCTCATTCGCACATGGACTGGGTTCCAGTATGACCACGAAGATCTATTCTACCTGCGGGCTCTTCTGAACGAGCTGAGTATACAGTCTGGAACGGAATACGTTGTCCATTTTCTGATACACGTCACCGATGACAGCAAGGAGATCTTCGCCGACAAGGACTTGTATCGACAAGTCCTCGACGACGCGCTTCCGGAAGAGTTCCGAGGAATGGGGACGCTGTGGTCAGAGCGTCAGATGGGCTTGATATACGGTGGGCTGGACGAGAGCTTCTACCGTAACCTTCCAGTACATGGCGTGTACCGGAGCACATACATGCCTGTCCAATACTTCGCCCATACACACCCAGAGTTCGACTTCTTCTGGCATTGGGAGGTGGACGTTCGCTACACTGGACACTTCTACCATCTCTTTCATCAGGTATCCCAATGGGCGAAACAGCAGCCAAGAAAGGGATTGTGGGAGAGGAATGGGAGATTCTACGTCCCGTCTGAGCACGGCAGCTGGGAGGACTTCCGGCAGATGGTGCGAGTGCAAACGGAGCACGGCACAGCAAGTAAGGAGAACATTTACGCCAAGCTCGCTGCTGATGCTGGCACGAAGAACCCTATGGACAATGACAGCCGCAAGCCCGAGAAGCCTGTTTGGGGTCCTGAGCGCCCTACTGCTCAAGGCGATGAGACCGATGATCCGGAGAACGACCCCCAACCACCAACGTCATACGACAAGGACAACTACGAATGGGGAGTTGGTGAAGAAGCAGACTTCATCACGTTCAATCCCCTTTTCGACCCTCACAACACGAATTGGATCCTAGCCGAAGATGTCACTGGCTACAACCTCTCCGCCGGCTACCCTCCCCGCCGAACAGCAATCATCACCGCCAGCCGTCTCAGCCGCAGACTGCTCGAAACTATGCACCGCGAAACCGCTCTGAAACGCCACACCATGTTCAGCGAAATGTGGCCCGGCAGCTGCGCACTCCAACACGGCTACAAAGCCGTGTACGCCCCTCACCCAGTTTACATCGACCGGGCCTGGCCCACTTCCTACCTCGCTGCCATTCTCAACAACGGCCGCAACGGTGCGGCTGGGGGCGCGAGGACTTCGGTCTTCTCGGATGAGAGACAGCACAATTTCTTGGGTACGACCTGGTACTACCATGCTGGCTTTTCCCCCAATCTGTGGAAGAGGTGGTTGGGTTACAAGGTGGACAATGATGGGGGTGAAGAATGGGAGCTTGCGAATGAGGGGAGGATGTGTCTGCCTCCGATGTTGCTGCATCCTGTCAAGCAAGTCGATTTGGTTTATGAGCATCAGGAGGGGGAGTAAAGAAGAGAAGGAGCACCGTGCATGAGCGAAGGCGTTCGAACCATATTGAGACAGCGCTGCTCACGTTTGATGAAGTGTTCATAGTGGCCTGTTGGATGTATGTGAGCAGAAGCCTACTGTATGCTTGGCTACGAGATACTTTACAGGAAAGAGACATATTCTTACGCTCAATCATTCTGACAACTCTTTTGCATGCGTCCCATACGACGCATTCCGGGCCTTCTACCAAGTTGCAGGCGCTAATCGTTATTCAAGTCCGTGGCATCTCACATCCTCTTTCCGCGCCCTTGAGGAATAGATGAACAGTCTTAGCGTTCGTCTCACCACACAGCGCGCAACATCGTGAATCTTCCTGAAGTCCGGCCGACCACTGGCCTCACCCCCGATCTTCCAAGTCCTATGCTCAAAGTCCAGCCTGGCGCCGTTCCTCTGAAACCAGCCTCTTCAACTCGGCCTCGAATTTGGCAAGTTTCTGCCTCACCCGATAAGGGTCGCGCTGTTGTATCCCGATAATGGCCGCATGCGCTATTCTTCGGTCTCCACTTCTCGAATCTCGAAGGTTCTGATCCAAGCGTTCCCTTTCCCTCTTTATCTCTTCTCTCACGTCGGCCATGTTGTTCTGTAGATACGCTTTGTAGGCAGAGCGCATCTCGAAGCGGATCTGGTGACAGGCGTTCATGAGGCCTGGCTGGATGGTAGCGATTGTGTGAGGTGGTGACAGACTGGAGAAAAGCGTCTCGTAGATGGTGATTCGGAGTTCGGCTGGGAGGGATAGGAGGTGGCATTTCTCGGTGGCGGTGGAGCATTCGCCCATGATGTTTGGAGATGTAACGGGCAGGTTGGTGGGTGATGGTGCCGTCTTCTTGAGTTTCGTGCCTGTGTTGTTGGAGGATGCAGTTGAAAGTTTGGTGCGATTACTGTGGGACGGGAGAAAAGCCACGAGAGGGTTGGCACGTGCGGGGCTTGGCATTCACATGCTTGCTGATAAAGGTGGAGCTCCGCTGGAAGCTCGCGCAGGTGGCATCGAGCATGCGAAGAAGATTTAGTGGCTGCTTAGTCTGGTGGGTCCACGATGGCTTAATCGTCGCCAATTTCTCGGCTAGTGCAAGGGATAAAGAGGCTCTACTTTGCGGATGTCTCAGTGTTGAAATATGCTGGGGATGATGACGGAGATCACGTTTGAAGAAGCGCAACTGCCCGACGGCACATGCGGAGCTTGACATCTACAGCTTTGCTGTTTGTTGTCAAATCAGCTTCGGGCCTTGCATGTCCTCGTTGTAACGCTGGGACAATTTGCCAGAACTCTATTCTCTTCGCCGACTGCACTTCTTTGAGCACCTTTCCCACTTGCCTCCACCCCCCCCCCCCCCACCTCCGGTGAAGCCAGAGTGTATGCTGGTTCCTCGTTTGAGTTCTTGCGAGCAATGAGAGAAATAATCCCCAAGCGTAAAGGTAGCCAAATCATGCGATCGCATCATAGCCTTACCGAGTGCATCGCGAACACGTCTCCCGCTTGCACAAATTCGTCAATCATCCGTCCATCTTTCCTGCCTCGCTGGCGCCATGGTTCGCGCCATGCATTTCCCGCTTACCGATCTTCGGGTAACCCTTCTCGAGATTCAACTTGAACATTCGCGTGCGCAAAGCGCCCATGTAGTGAACCTGGCTCAAGTGCATTGATGTAATCGTGAACACCCGACTCAAGGCCCTCTCTGCCGTCTCTTCATCTCCAGTACGAATATCGGCGCGAAGCTCCAAATGCTCGCGCTCATACAATTCGTCCTCTAATTCGGCAGCCGTGTAGAGATCTTGCAGGTACTGCTCATACTGTGGGAGCATCTCGCGGCGTACTTGAAGGCAGCTTGACAAAAGTGCTGGTTCCAGCAGGAGCTGCTTCTTCGGCAGTCGCGAAGACAAAGAGAGGAGGACCTCGTAGATGAGAAGGCGCAATTCTGCCGGAAGGGCGAGGAAGCGGCAGCAGTCAGCGGCGTCACTAGCATTACTTGAAGAGTCTGTTGGAAGTCCTGGCAGAGTTCTGGCATGTATCTGCCTGTTAGAAGGCGCGCCGCTCGGTTGGCTTGTTGGCGCAGGCTTTCCATCCTCGCCCTCCTTGCGCGGCGACGTGAAGAAGAGCCTCTGCAGAGAGTTCCAGATACCATCCATCTTGATGGTCTGGTGTTCCTTGACACTGGCTTCTGGAGCTTCTGTGCATAAATTTTGGAGATGTTGAAAAAGCGAGGAAGCGAAGGAGCGTCCTTAAATCAGTATTCTGATTGGCACGTGCACTGCTTGGCATTCACGTGAAGACTTAGTAAGCATCGGTAGTTGCCGCTGACAATGCTTTGTTTTAAATCGCTAGGAGCAACAATAATCGAGTTAGTGTCCCGCCTTGTTTTGCGATACTACTCGTTACTCGCTATCTTTTTCCAATGCAATCCCCTACCCAATCCGACCTCACCACTCCCAAACCGCAAAATCCTTATGTTCAATCTTCTCACATCTCCCCTAGAGAAAGATGCCTCACAGCAGTGATTTGGCTAGACCACTATGGAATACGGACGCGGCGCCCAGACTCAGGATTGAAGCCGTCTCCACCCAGATCTAAGCTTGGAGTCTGCGCGACGATTAGCATCGACGTTCTATTGCAAAGCTTCAAAGAAAGTGCTTATGGGTTGATCTCGGATGAGCTTGGAGAAGGCGAGAAGAGCTGGACTTCGGAAATGTCGATGTCCGCGGAGGAGATCGGATACTCGTAGAAGTTCAGGCGGAGTTCGGTTCGGATTTTGAGAGAGTGGCATTCGCTCTCGCGCTCGGGGGTCTGTTGATAAGATGTAGACATTGTTGGTAAGTGGACGAAAGATGCAAGATTTGAGAATGGGTCATACGATTTGTGGCTGTTGGGATTTGTATAAGGCTGCTACAAATGCCAAAAGTACATAGGGGAGAAGTGCTAGGAAAATCTCTAATACGTAGCAAGTAATGGCTCGTTACGATCTACTCCGAGGATGTGAATCAAAGCTAGCCCAGGACAAGCTTCCCAAGATCATCCCTGCGACTCGCCATTCGAATTGTGATAAATGCTTCTCGTTAAGAGCATCGAGATCGATTGACTCGCTCAGAAATCTCGCTACTCCCGCCAAAGCCCACTCTGATATAAGAGTCCATATCAGCCCGTCTAAGCCTTTCTCGAGCCGTCGGATGTGTCTCTCCTTCACTACAGAAATATTAGCACAAGAGTCCCTCCGCACAATCCCACAAAACCCCAACCAACCAACCTTTCTCAAAAAAAAAAAATTTCATCCATCCAACTTCTCAATCCAAGTCGTAACAGCCTCCATCAACCTCGAAATCTCCTTATTCCGAAGGATCAAACCCTTGTACTCCGCCCCGGTCGTCATGCCCGCCTTGTAATGCCGGATCAGATGGAGAAGCCTCGCACTGACAAGTTTCAACTCCGCTTCCAGATCGTTCTTCAAACCCGTAAGTTTGTCGTGATAAGCGGCGATCCCTTCGGAGAAGAGAAGACGACAGGTGGAGAAGAGCGCTGGAATCTGAATGCTGAGGGCGGGAAGCTTAGCAGCTCTCACGGGGTAGACGGCCTGCGCCTGCTGCTGTTCGGGACTGGAAAGCTGGGATTGTGCGGTCAGATCGGCTACGAGGTCGTTGAGGAGGGCATCGTAGATGCAAAGGCGGAGCTCGGCGGGGATGGTGAGGATGTGGCATTTGGCCGGCATGGGAGTGGGAATGCTTTGCTGAGCCATGTCGGGTGTCGAGGCGATGTATCTCTTCCGGTTGGATGTGGTATTGAGCAGAGTCGAAGAGAGCGAGGCAGTGGTTTGGTTGATGTTTGAGAGTTGGCGATCAGAGAAGGGAAAAGGAAAAGGAACAAGATGTGATTGGAAGCGCTCGTGTGGAGATCACATGCGAGCGACTCGTCTGAAGTGAGGTGGGGCAGGGGGTGAGATTGACATGTGAAAGCAAAGTGCATCGCGTCCAAACATCTCTTCGCTGTCCACATAAGCGTTTCAGTACTTGAACAGATGTTCGTCCACCGTGTACGACATGCATGGTCTGCGCTGAATGGCTTCAGCCTGAGCACGGACCTTGTTATCACATGCTTTGGACAGGGGTCTACAGCAAACTGAGAACATGCAAATGCACCGAGTCTTCACGACTCGTAAGACTAACAGCTTAGAGGTATCAATTTCGTCGCACAGACGCCATGCCAGGCGCTGTTCCGCTTAATGATCCAAGACAAATCGCATCTATACGCCTGTATATTCTCCTCATCCAATTCGAACGCTAGGAACAAACAAGAGAATCTCCACGGAGCGAATAACTTCCCAAACAACTCATCCAGCGACTGGAAAATGCTTCCCCCCAAAGAAAATCACTGCCTCCCAAGTTAGACCCGGCAATCGAGAATGGTTTTTGTCGGGCATCTCCACCGGAGAAATTTTTGCTCAGGCGCCGCGTCTGAGAAGGAGGTAGGAAAATCATCGAATCGTTCTAGAAGCATAGAAATACCAGACTAGCCAGTAGCTCGACAAAAACGAAAGGACACAAAGCTCCGAGAAGTGAGTGGCTTGCAGCAGCTAATGCGAGATTGGGGATAGAGTTCCAACCTTAGCTCTAGACCCTACCATTTTCCATCCTCCTAACTCGTCTTCTTCTTCACTTCGACCAGACTACCGACAACATTTTCGCGGGAGATCTAAGCCCTTATAACGAGCGACGTGAAATTTCTACGCTGTAATTCTAATCCTCGATGGCTTAACTCGATATTATTCATCGCTATATCTTGCCTACTCAGAAATGATACCTTTACCGAGAATAAAGGTACAGCCCTACGCTACGCCTCCGAAATTCATGGCTAGCTGAGCTGCAGCCTCCAGAGGGAAAAAGGGAAAACCTATGGCTTGCGTAAAGATTGCCGCCCGGGGACCTTCTAGAATCCGAAAGAAGAAACCAAAATCTCGAAAAAGTCAATATACGCCATCAGGGTCGCGATGCAATTCTTTCGAACTTACCAAATGCCTAAACGTTTACAAAATGTAATGGGGGAGATGGGTATTACTCTAGTAGTTTGTTGACGAGCTCGTGAGAAAGCTAGATATCTCTTGGGGAGAGACTTTGAACACGGAAAAACGTAAGAGATCGAAAATTGCGATATCGGAGTAGATAGAATCTATTGCTTTCGGGGGAAGTCACATGCAAAGATAATTCCCTTTCTTTTCCCATGTTGTACGCATATCTCATCACACATCTCATCTCAGGACCATCTCCCACCCATCTCTACCTCTCCGATCCTCCGGGAAGATTGCCTTCCTTCCTCCCTCGTCTACTGCGAGTACTTGCCGTAGCTGGCGTACTTTCCGTAGTCGTAAGTGCCGTAGTTGGCATACCTACTCCACGTATCAGCGTGAAGCGTCCATACTATGTCATGCCATGCCATGCCATGCCAGAGGGGGTGTGTGTGTGTGTGTGGAGGAAGAAGACGACTCACTTTCCATATTTCGCATAATCCTGAGGTTGCTGACGCTTCTGCTTGATAGCCATAGCCAAATCGAGAAGAGCGTCCATGTCGGCCTCTGCCTCTGCCTCTGGCTGGGCCTCGGGCTCACGCTTATAAGTGCCGTAGCTGGCGTAGCTGCTGGGGTAGTTGTTGTAGCTGGCCGGGGCCGGGTATTTCTGGTACGTGCCATAGCTGCCCTTGGCTGGGTAGCTCTGGTAGGTGCCCTGGATGGGGAAACGTGTTAGAAGCCCAATGGAATGCAATGGGCATTGTGGAAGGAGTCCGGTTCGTGTGGGAGACGTACGTAGTTGTTGTAGTTGCCGTAGTTGGTGGGGCTGGCAGCAGCGGTGGTGGAGGTGGTGGTGGTGGTAGCAGCAGCAGCTGGCGCCGGCTCGGGAGCAGGAGCAGCGTTGGCATCGGCCTCTGCCACTGCCTCTGGCATGGGAGCCGGGGCCGCGAGAGCACCGACAGCCATACCAGCAGCGAGGAGAGCGAAGACGTTCTTCATAATGACGATAGAAGTGTTGGATATCGTAAGAAGATGCTGTGAGAGAAAGCGAACAAGTGTTCTGGTCTTTGCTAGTAGGAGACGATTGAAAGGGTACTTCTCTCTCTCTCTTCGTCGGACGAGGGAAGACGTCCATCTTAAGAATACCACCACCACCACCACTACCAGCAGCAGCAGCAGCAGCAGCAGCAGCAAGCCGACCTCGCATTCATCGCCGCGGAGAGGAGAGCAGCCGTGACATCGTATGGAGACTGTCGCCGCATCGCTCCCGAATAGCACCAATAAAACGCACTGCTGAAGCTCATCCCAACTTGCCTGGCGGTGGTAAACTACTGCATGCACTTGGCTCGCCTACCCCGATGAGACCACAGCTAGCCATAGAGCAATGGGAGGCATCCTTCGTACGCTGCAGGTGGAGAGGGCCGGAATGCTACTTCTGTCTGCGACACTGTCGAGACTCGAGAAGGCGGCGGCGGCCACGTGTGTTGTTGGTGTGGAAGACAAAGAGAGATATGGAGGAGAGCTGAGGAGAGCTGATGAGGGAGAGCTAGTCGAGCCAAGCCAACTCTAACCCGCATTAGCGCCGCCACATCCACATCCCGCATCGTATTACCGTGGCGTGGTACGACGCCACACCATGCGGCTCTCCACACTCCACACTCGTACGCTATCGATTGTGCGGGGGGCGCATTCATCATACGTCTTGGCTCTCGGTGATCTTCGTGTCATGGTTGCATCGCCTTCTTCCGGGAATTCTTCCACCTCCATCTACCCTCAGCATCTCCGGCCCATCTCGCAATCATCGCAAGCTCAGAAAAAAGAACAGAATGGCCGCTGTCCCGCTCCTCGAGAACAACAACCCGACCGTATCCCTCGACGGCGACGATGACGAGACCGAAAAGATGAGCCCCGTAATCCTGCGCCAGAAGCGAAAACCACTGCTACGGAGGGAGAACTTCTGCTGGGCGGTGCTCGGATGCGTCCTGCTCAGCGTTCTACTCGGCATAGCAGCAGGCAGCGCCATGCTGGTGCTGCGAGGCTGGAGCAACAACGACGACGACGACGAAGACAGCTGTATACGCCAGACGACGATGATGCCATCGCCCTTGACGCGCGACTTCGACATGACCTACCACACGCAGCAATTCAACGGCTCCTTCATGGAAGAGACCGTCTACCGCCGAGCGGCGAGTCCCGAGGTCGACGCGGCGTGGGAAGCGCTCGGGGTGAACTATCGCGCCGTGCGAGTGCCCCAGGAAGTCGGACCGCAGGTTGGGCTGGCGGCGGATAAGGTGCAGATCAACGACAAGTACGGCGGCGGATACCCGGCCAACGTGGAAGGGCTGCATCATCTGCATTGTCTCAACCTCCTGCGCCAGAGCCTGTACTGGAACATCGACTATTACCGCGCACAGGGAACAGGCGCGTTCGTGAATGGAGAGCACGTGGTGCGGAAACACGTCTGTGAGTACCAGCCCGTGCGAAATGCCTCCCACATCGGAGCGCTGACGAAGGGACGGCACAGCACACTGCATGGACATCATCCGCCAGCAGCTCATGTGCACCGTCGACGTGGGAATGCTAGGGCAAGTCTGGTGGCAACCGCAAGACCAGCAATTCCCCGAAGCATTCGTCGACTTCAACACCAAGCACGTCTGTCGCAACTATGAAGACGTGCGGAAATGGGCGCACGAGCACCAGTTGCCGGAAGAAGTCCCCGAGGACTATCTCGCACCCCCGCAACCTGGTCAGAAGATTCTCGACCATCTCCCGTGAAAGCCTTCCCCGGATACTCAGCCAGCGCAGCGGGTTTTCACGCCGCAATATCCCGGCATAAACTCTGCAATTCTGGCATGGGATTGCCGATGGGTGCACTCCTCCGCCGAAGAAGATGGAAGGCGAAGCACGCAGAGCATAGAGCCTCGCGCAGACATTCAGCCATCCGGGAAGCTAGATCCGGAAAGCGATCAGGGACACTCGAATCCCATCAGATAACTCGCGAGATCTTCCTAACCCGTCCGAAGGATCTGGCAAGAAGCTGGATGGTCATGGATTCGGGGCCGAGGTACCAGCCAGAATGAGAAACCTGACAAGTAGAGAACAAGTGATACCGGAGATTCGTGATCGTTCCCGTCAAACGTCGAATAGTGTAGAGTATAGAATCAGCATCACGACATTCTGGTCCCAAAGTTTTCGTATTCCCTATCTTGCTGCTGGGGACGTTGCATCGTGCTCGTCTCTCGTCTCTCGTGTCGTGTCGTGTCGTGTCTATGTGGAGGGCGCATGCCGAAATCAAAAACAATGGGTGGTGAAGTTACGTCCGCCAGGGGAAAGTCTGCTAAGGTAAGGCTCGTGTCTCCGCGCTAAGTTGTCACTGCAGGAGTCTCTCGTATCGCACATCGCCAGATTGCGTCATGTGGAGTGCGAGATGCCGCGATCCGTGTGAAGGAGGAACGGCTCAGAGGTACAGGTTGACTTGACTTGGCCTTGAGGACATACGAGAGAGCTCTTGGGACCCGCCATGGCGGATGCGCTCGTATGTGCGGGGTGTCTTCGTTCGCAGAGATTGGAGCCATCGCGCCCAAAGCACTGGGCGATCTCTCCAGGCTCTCGTGGGATGCCGCAATCTTCAAGAGGATCATTGTTCGTGCACATGTCCATCATGATGAGAAGGTGAAGTCGCTCAAACCCCCTGTCTGTCAGAACCATGCAACCGAATCGGAGCCCCAAGGCCGGGGACCCCGGGTCGGAGCGACAGGAATTGCGCCTCCATCAGTATTATACCGGACTCAACAAAGGCCCTTGTTCCCCTCTCCGGTCCATCCACTCCCGAATCGGCTGCCACTTCCTACAGGTATGCGCTCCCGTCCGCCCCAGAGCAATCTTGAATCCAGGCCAGAAATACAAGGGACTGGGCGTCAGGTCTCCATGGCACATGATGCTCTGGCGGATCCGATCCATGCAATGTTCCATGTGCACGACGTCCCAGCCGTCAGGGAAACTGATACCTTTGACGTCACCGTGGTGATGGCTGGTGGAGACGTTGTAGAGAGACTTGGAGACTTCGAGGCGGAGGGCGTTGACGCAGTGGAGGGTGTGGAACATGTCGGGTCTGTCCAACGTCAGGCTCTCTGCCAGTTGTGGGAGTTGAAGGGAGAAAAGCAAGGCTTACTCGAAATGATACCTTCCAGTACTAGGAATCGTTGTCAAGTCTGGTCGGAAAGGCGCCGCTTCCTCGTCTGTCATGACAGGAAATTCGCCATGCAGGAGCTCATGCCACGCATCGTCCTACATCTTCCAGTCAGTCTGTCGAATTCAGAGTTTCTCGGCATTGACCCACAATCTCTTTACTAGGTGGACCGAAATATTCCCTCTCACCATCCGGCTTCCTAAATGCAACCTTCTTCTCCGGATCATATACCAAGGCTCCAGTGAACGTCCTGCTCTCGTACTCAATTGCCTTGTGCGCATCTGTCGTATCGGTCGGTGTGATGCATTTCGAGTGTACGCTCCGACTCCACGTAGTGATATTGACCAGGATGGAGATGACGAGAAAGGTTACGTTCGCGGCAAGAAAGCAGAGCTGTCTTGTCTGTCGCTGCTCTTCGGATTTCGGGCTTCGTAAAGCATTCCAGAGTCGGCTTCGATCATGATTTTCGGATAGGAGAGAAGCCTTCTCCATCTTCATCTGCTCCAGTATTGGCATCTTGAGCGGCGTCGTGCTCTTCACGTTGTCTTTGAGAAAAGCTCTTCGAGCTGCGTTGCTCTGATGGGGAGTCGCGTGGTCTTGAAGATCGTCAGGGCTGGTACGGTTTTGGTCTAGATGCGGCTCCTGACCCCCTACGGCTAGCTATGTTTGGCACGTGGCTTGAGGACGAAAGACCCTGCGTCTTGTTGTTGGTTGAGAACCAAACTCAATCTTGCAATGTCCAGATTAATGCCTAATAGATGATTGCAGCTCTCGCTCGCGGTTTGTCGAAGAACGATATGATGCTTCTTCATGGGTACCGGCAGGCTCGCAATATACTGCGCCAAGGAACGCTGTCTCCTATACTCATCCAAATTGACTGGACTCCAACAGCAAGTACAGCTTCTTCGAATCTCATGCCCAACGCCTCAGAGCCGACCGTTTGATTGCTTTCCTCTTGATCAGCATCAACGGTTTCCAATATCATCTACTTCGTCATTTGTGGGACTGGGGCTTCACCAGATGCCGTAGAAGATTGACATTGCGAGGGCAAAAACACACGGGCCTTGCCGTCGTGCGCGTTGGCCACCATGCTGCAAGTTGCTCATCAGGAGTCGTCTCGTGCTGTACCGATGTAAACCACTTCGCCTCCCCGCGAACCGCGCATTTCGTTTTTGCAATCCTTGACAACCTCCCCGTTTATCGTTTTTGGCCAATTCACACGCCAAGGCACTCTTCTGAAGTAATCCGACAATACCCAACACCTTTTCGTTGTTCAACATGCGTTTCACTACCGTCGTGGTCGCATCCCTTGCGGGAGCGGCGCTTTCGCTCCCAGTCGCAGTCGACGTAAGCCGACAGTCTCTCTGAATCAGCGAATGGGGCTAATGTTGACAGCAGACCACCGAGATCGGTCTCGTGAAGGACCTTGAGGGTCTCACAAAGCCAGCCGTCCAGACCAGACAGCTCGGTCGCCTCGGCGATCAACTTGAGAACCTCTCTAGCAGCAAGCTGAATGCTCGTGGAGAGCAAGAGGATGCTTTGAGCGCAGCTCTTTCCAGCATCGCCAAGAGCATCAGCGGGCGCCAGGTGGATGTTCTGGAGAACGCAGCTGGCATCCCTTTCACGCAAGCCGCCAACGACAAGCGCCAGGTCGACGTAGCTGGCGCGGCTATTGAGCCCGTCGAGGAGGCCTTCTAAGCGCGGAGACGGATAGATTCATGGGAAGTCGGGGTCGTGAAAAGTTCTGCGTTAGCTGTGACTGGGCGGGGTGTCCATGGAGCAGCTACAGGCGGCCTTGCTCATGGCATTGCAGTATACGCGAGGACTCTCCCGCGTGGAGACGACAGCGCGTGCTTGTAGATATCACCAGAATCCATTCCAGATCTGTTCCGTCGGCATTGTCCGTTCTTGTGCCAGGTCTGCTCGAGCCTGAGGTTGCTTTCACGTGCACCCATCTCTGTAGCGCCGGCTTAGCGTGTCTTGGCGTCTGCTTGGCAGCATTGATGCTCAAGGCCGAGGTCGATGTCGATGTCGATGTCGATGTCGATGTCGTTGTCGTTGGGAAGTTGGGAAGGATACGACGCGTGGGGCGTCCCCTCGACGTCACCAAGATATCGCGACATCACGTGCTGAGCATGACTCCCGCCTCTCCTCATCTCTCCACAAGACTGTCCGGAACCTTGGCAGACTCTGCACTATTATTATGGTGGAGCAACGGTGCGCTGTAACACTGTGACATTCACGTGACACTTGTGACACTGCTGCCACCACCTTCCCGGACTGGACTGGACTGGACTTGGCCGATCAAATTGGATTGCGCGCATAACAAACCTCGTCCCCTGCAATTCTGACGTTTGATGGAGGCCGGGATGGCTGGTCCGCCATTATTCAGGCACAATGCTTCGACTTTCCGCCTCGTCCAGATACATGTACACATCCACCACCTCACCTCGTCTTCCTCTTAGCGACTCTGAGCCGGTGATACACGATGCTGGCTCCGGTGGGTATAGTCGTTGCCCTGCTTCACTGGACACCTGCTCAAGCGCAGTCTAGCACCTCGAGCGGCATCCTATCGCTCGTGAATCCCCTCATTGGAACGGTACGAGCTCATGACCATGTCGAGAACAACCAGCACTGACAACACGCATAGAGCAATGGCGGTCACGTCTTCCCGGGAGCGACATTGCCTTTCGCCATGGCAAAGGCAGGATGCGACGTCAATGTAGAGAATCAGGGAGGCTTCTCCACCGGCCACCCCGCCGGCAACATCACTGGCTTCTCTCACATGCATGACGACGGCACTGGAGGCGTGAGTATCCATCCCATAGCATCGAGTCTTGGAAAGTTTCGTTGAGCACAGGATGATACTTGAATTTCATGCTCGATTCATCGTGGAAGCGAATTTACATATTCATGGTTTGGCTGATATTGCTCAATTCAACACCGCAATACTGTTTTGGGACGGCACCTCTGGAGCATAAGCTGACCGTGACAGGCTGCATCTTTGGGCAATTTTCCCCATTTCCCACAAGCTGGCTGTCCTGACGACGACATCAACCAATGCCTCTTTCCAATTCGGACTCGCGCAGTACCGAGGGTCAATGGCACGGTAGAAGCCTACCCGGGCTATTTCTCCATCGTCATGTCCACCAACATCCGTGCCGAAATGACCTCCACCAATCATACTGCCCTATACCGATTCACCTTTCCTCAGACGCCTACCGAAAAGAATGCCACCCTGAGCCCCTTGATACTGGCTGATCTGATAGACCTGCCCCAATCCAGAATCAATGGCTCGGCATCTGTCGATGCAGATACGGGCCGGATCTCTGGCAGTGGCTCCTTCTTGCCCAGCTTTGGTATCGGCAGCTACACTCTGCACTTTTGCACCGACTTCTCAGGCGCACAAATACGAGACACTGGGGTCTTCCTGAACAACCGTGCCGGCACATCGCCCAAAACGGTCAGTGTGGTCCAAGATGGAATTAATATAAAGAATGAAACTCTACCCGCCGGCGCTTGGACGAGATTTCATGCGCCAAGTAACAACAATCAAATAGTTGCGCGAGTTGGTGTAAGCTTCATCAGCGTCGATCAAGCCTGCCACAACGCTGAGGAGGAAATACCGGACTTCGACTTTACAAAGGTTCGGTCTGCGGCAGAGCAGGCCTGGGAGGATACCCTCGGAGTCATCGAGGTGAAGCCTGGCGGTGTCAACCACAGCCTGCAAGCTACATTCTGGAGTGGTGTCTACCGTACAGGCATCTCCCCACAGGACTACACAGGAGAAAATCCGCTGTGGGAATCGGAGGAGCCCTACTACGACAGCTACTACTGTATCTGGGACTCTTTCCGCAGCGTTCATTCCCTGATCACCTTAGTCGACCCTTACTCGCAAATCCAGATGATTCGCAGTCTCATCGAAATCTATCGCCAGGAAGGTTGGCTTCCCGACTGTCGGATGTCCTTGTGCAAAGGCTACACGCAGGGCGGCTCAAACGCAGACGTCGTCCTTACCGATACTTATGTCAAATTTGGCCAGCTCGCCGCTGATCTTGGTGTGGATTGGAAGACTGCATACGAAGCCCTTGTCAAGAATGCAGAAGATGAGCCGCCCAATTGGACTGTGGAGGGCCGAGGCGGTCTTCATAGCTGGAAGAGTCTGAATTACGTCCCGACCGAGGACTATGATCCCTACGGAGTTGGGCCTTTCACAAGAAGTATCAGTAGAACTGTCGAATATGCTTACAATGATTATTGTGTTGCTGAGATGGCTCGTGGACTCGGCAATCAAGGCGACTATGAGAGATACACACAGACGTCTGGATACTGGAAGTAGGTTGAAAAGCAGATGCGCATCTTTGAGTTCCTTGCTGACGATGTGCAGGAACATGTGGAAAGAAGATCAACGTGTAAGTCCCGGAAAGATATCGTTGAAGCAATTCCTGACGCACCGCAGAGCTCAATTAACGGCACAGACACCGGTTTTACAGGCTTCCTAATGCCGAAATTCTTAAATGGCACCTGGGGCTTCCAGGACCCCATCTTCTGCTCGCCACTGCTCAACTTCACCGCTTGCTACTTGAACCCAGGAGGCCATGAGACCTACGAAGGTAGCTCGTGGCTCTACTCATTCTTCGTCCCACACGACATGGCTTCGTTGATCACGACAATGGGCGGGCCGTCCACATTTGTCAAACGACTAGATTACCTGCACGAGAGCGGCTTGCTATACATTGGCGATGAACAGGGATTCTTACCAGTCTATCAGTACCACTATGCCGGCCGCCCGGGAAAGAGCGCCGAACGCGCACATTTCTACATCCCATCTCAATTCGACGATACCCTAGGCGGACTTGCGGGCAACGACGACAGTGGTGCAATGGGATCATTTATAGCACTGACCATGATGGTGCGCAACCCCTATCCTCAGCCACCTAGATACCTCCACCTAACGAACCATCACAGGGCATCTTCCCCAACCCAGGCCAAGACATCTACTTCATCACGCCTCCGTTCTTCGAAGAAGTCTCCATTCGCAACAAGCTCACCGGCAAGCGAGCCACGATCCGCAATTTCAACTTCGACACGTCTTATCAGAACATCTACATCCAGAGTGCGACGTTGGACGGAAAGCCGTATACCAGGAATTATCTCCAGCATAGCTTCTTCCTCGAAGGCGGTGTCTTGGAGCTCACGCTGGGTAGGAATGAGAGTGTCTGGGGAACTCGAGCAGAGGACTTGCCTCCCAGTCTGTCGACGACAATGGGGCAGAATTTTCTCTGAATCAGCGGCAGGAATGAAGAGACAGATGATGAGAATCATAACCCAGCGACGAATACAAATCACGTTCCAGACCGTTTCCCCCTGTCAGGATACTCGAAAAGAAACCCCATCAGCTCCTTTCCGCGAACGCATCGTATGGCCATCATCTCACAACTCCATTGCCCTTCCCATCCGCCTTCCCAACACCCACACTCTCCCTCGCAACCTCCCTCTCCCCATGCCCCACCGCTACCTTTCCCCTTCTTCCTTCACAGCTCAATTTTCCCCTCAAGCAGTCCATCCCACTACTCTCCTGGCCCGGATAAAATCCAACCCCGTCGATCCTTCTCATTTTTCCCCCATCAAACGAATAGATTGGACACCTAAGCAATTCGAGAAATACCAAAACTTGACAACCATGTCATCCCGAATTATAGCATCAATCATCTTTCTGGCCGTTCAGTGTGAGTATCTAGCCCAGCTCCTCACAACGAGGCTGAACAACGCCCAGTGCGGTCTCTATTCGATTCTGACCGGCGAGGCGCTCTTCTAGCGACTTTCTCTCCTTTCTCATCTTCCCCAATCGATACAAGCTCCGCTAAGAATACGGCTGATCGAGCCTATTAAGCGGTCTCATACAGGAAGTCAGACTACGCCGGAACCACGCCCTCTTCCCTCAAGGGATCATACCTCTTGTCCTCTCCAGTCACTTCCACCCTCTGAGCATTCGGCACACCAGTCTCGCGGTCAAATTCCAACTTCCGATTCCCGAAATCCCAATACCCACTTCCCATTCCCGAAACCCTGGAAATCCGTATGTCCAACCTACAAATCCACGGACGATCCCACCTGCAACAACAAGACTCTCGCTAATTCTCTTAGTCGTCTCCGGATGCTTGCACAGATCTCTGACAAACTTGCTGTCAGAAGCTACATTCCTCAAAGTCAAGGTTCCCTTACCCACCCATGGGGCGAGAGCAAGCGTTCCAAATCGCAGGACAGAAGATGAAGCGTCTGTACGCCAGGACACCTTCATGGGAGAGGATAGTTACCCGCAACTGAATCGCGTCCCCTAAAGCGTGAAATCTGACCTGGCCAAGGTGGATAGACACTGAACTAGCCGTCGCGAGATGGATCTATTCGGAATGTCAACATGAGCAGTCATCATCATGAGATGGCAGAAGAGCAAGACTGAGAAAATACACAATACCTCTCAGTGGCATTGGAGACATACATACAATACTTTTTTTTTTTTGGATATCGAACATGTTTGCTGATGGAGGTATTTCACTGCTTTAGAACGTCGTTTCATCCCCTGTAACAACATCATCTTACGCAAAACAAAGAGACAGAACAGACAACCCGACACCAGGACCAGAGAAAAAAAAACCTCCCTCCTTGGTCAGATCTGAGCCTTACACACACAAAAAGTAGACGCATCAGTCACGCGTGAAATGGGTAGCATAAACTCCAAAGGGCAGATGAAGAACAATCAATCCATTCCTGGGGATATGATACGAGACGGTGTCGTGGATATAAGCTGCTCAGCAAAGCCAGCCTGAGCGCATCTGCCATATTTCCAGCCAAGAACTCGTGGAGTGAGTGGAAGTGGAAAATGAGCTCTACGACAGATGAGAAGATCGGGCGGGGGGAAAGCGAGCTTGCAAGATACGAACAGCCACAGAAATTCCATCCCAAACCTCCATCTTTCGAGTTCTTTCAGACCCTGTCAAGGCCACATGGTCCGCACGCCCTCATCCTCCCAAGCGGCATCAAACCGCCCATAAACAACCGACAGCTCATCCTGATAATGATTCTCCACGCTTTCCAAAAACGGATCCCTGGCACCCTCCCCACCGCCACCACCATCCTTCATGAAGCTATTGTACCGCCTGCGGAAAGCGATATTATGACTGAAACTACTCCTCGCGTAACCCCCATACTGACTCCCCCGCAACAAGACTTCGAAATCCACCAGCCCGCGCTGATCCCACAGGAGATTCTTCAATTCTTTCAACTCGTTCCCAAGCAGGAGTTCGTGCTTGGAGACCACGTCGATCTGGAAGTTCTTCGCTTTGGCGGCGAAGCGCGCGAGGTCGGAATCCGTGCCGCCCGCGGCGTAGATGGTGCGCAGGTCGTGCGTGAGGGTCTGGTTGATGTACCAGTCCGTCTGCTGCTCGAAATCGACGGGCCAGCCGGCTTTGACGGCGTCGCTGTCGAGCCGGAGGTGTGCGCCCATGTAGGAGTGGGGGTAGATGTTGCGCGTCGGGTCGATGGCGAGGTGGAAGCGGCGGGAGAGGGCCTCGACGCAGAGCATGGCCAAGCGCCGCGCGTCCGGGCGGAATTCCAAAACGCGGCCGATGGTGTAGTAGACGCCCATCCCGTCGTCCATGACCGCTCGATCGCGCCCTGGGTCCCCCGAGGTGAGGAGGACGGGTTTCGGGACTTGCGCGAAGTTCTCCTCGAACCAGGCGTCGAATTCCCGCCTCCAGGGGCTCGGGTGCAACTGGGTGGAAACGTTGAGGGCGAGGCCCCAGTGGGGGATTTCCGTGTTCGCATTACTCCAATCCTCTTCGGGGCTGTCGAGGATCTGCATATGCGGACAGGCACTCTGCATGGTCGTGACGAAGTGCTCGCGATCAAAGAAGTGTTCGAAATCCGCCACGTCGCCGAACAATTCGAACAGATCGCTCTTGGACCGACGGTGGAAATGGGGGAGGAGCATGGAGGCGCCTGCTTCCATGGCGAAGCGCGTGCAGTGGAGCATATAGCTGCGGATGTTGCCAACTCCTCCGGTCCCGGGAGCGCAGCTGATGATGATATCGTTTCTCGGTTTGCGATTCTGACATAGTTCGCGGAGTGGGTCGATGTCGAAGGGATCCGAGACTTGGTGCTGCAGAGCGGTTTCGACGAAGACTTGTTGCGGGATTTCCTTCAGAGGGCGAAGATTCGTCATGAAGCTCGGGGCGCTACCGTGATATCGGAATTGGAAGGAGGCATAATAGAGCGGGAGAAGCGTGATGAATGCGACTGCAATGCGTGCACGGAGTGAGAAGCCACTCCATATGCTTGTGACGGCGGTCATATTTGCTTGCTATCCATTCGGATCAGGAATCGTAGGAGCACATCAGTCGAGGTGCGCTCGGAGGAGTCGCGGATCAGAACGCGTCGGTGTACATTGCAGCTCGCCGTCCACATAATTGGCATGTAAGGGGTAGGGCCCACTCCGCGGACCTTTGCCTGGATAGACCACGGTATGCCACAGGAAAACCAATCAAGTGCATTATCATATGCAGACAAATTCGTACCAGTTTGGGTAGACGTTGTGTCGGAGAAAGCCAGTTTGCATCGTCTACAAGACCGCACCGTCGCTCTAAGGAAACATCACCGGCGCCTGACCCTCCAAAATCCAGTTCCGCCCAACAAGCTTATTCATCCCATTATCATAAGCGATCAGCGGATCTCCCGTGAACATCGCATCATTTACAATCCCGTTCTCATCCATCCACACAGTTCTGGCGACGGCGATTGTCCACCCAAAACTGCTCTGAGAAATGGACCCGAAAACCGAACAGCGCATCATGATTTCGTAGTCCACGAGAGCCTGGATGTCCCAGTGATATGCCTGAAGGAGCCGGGACTCTTCGGGAGGGAGAAGATCCCATTTGTCCACGACGATGAGCGGCGGACTCTGAGCAGCGGCCTTTGCTTTGAAGTTTTCGGCTTCCGTCTGGTTGCCGGAAGCGACGAAGATATGACGGAGACCGTGCTCGCGAGCCGCGTCGATGTAGCTGTCTGTTTGGGCCTCGAAATCGAGCGGGCAAGACGATTCGTCGCAGTTCCCGCTGGTATAGCCTGCACCAATCGCATCCGATTCGGTGCGGAGGTGAGCGCCGTAGAATGCACGCTGGTGCACACGTTCCGAGGCGTTGAGATGAACGCCATATACTGCTGCGAGATTGGACATGGCAATGGCAGCGTATCGACGTACGTCCGGATTGATACGTAGCAGCATGCCGAAATTGACACGCAGAGCGGGCGACAGGCGCTGGGTGTCAATCTGCCACATGGTCCGGCTCATATCGACAATGTATTTCTTGTCGCTGTTGGCCTCGTATCCGCGGTCCTGCAGCCATCCATCCATAGTTCTCACCCAGCTAATACGGTTCGTGTCTCTCCTCCTCGTGACCTCTACCGGATGAAACTGCTCTTCGAAATGCTGCCCGAGCTCAGAGGCGTTCTTGGGCGGGTCGTACACCCGCATTGGTGGGCAAGCTTCCCTGATTGCAGCCTTGAACCAGGCCTCATCAAATGCGTTGCGGAATGGCGCTCTCTCGCCGTCTCCAGTGAGATCGAGCAAATTGTCCGTGTTGCGCATGGCAGTGTTGGGAAGAACAATCGATGCACCCATTTCCATGGCATACCACAAGAAGTCAAGGAAATGTGCGCGAAAGTTGCCGATGCCGCCATCCGCATCGTATAGGTGGAATATGAGATTGGGTCGCCAGGTGCTCTGTTGACAGTATGGGCGAATTACTGCTGGGTTGAACGGTCCTAACAACCGTGTGTTGAGCCAGCGGTCGATGAAGTCTTCGCGGTCGATCTGAAATGGCACCAGAGATGTCCTCCCCACGCGCATCGTGAATGATGCATAGTAGAGGAGGACAAGTGTCACCATCGCCAGACAGACCTTTGATGCTGTGCGTAGGTTTGTATTGTTCGGCCATTTGGACGAAGAAGAGTCGTGTGCCATGGCACTGCGGAGTCGTTGTCGCATTAGCAACGGTTGAGGTAGCAAGTGCCTTTATCATAGACGCGTGATCGCCCGGATCCATTCCTTGTGCTCGCAACTTGAGATTCAAGTCTAGATTTTTTGCCCATTCCGAAGGACCGGTATGCATCAGCAAGCTTTTCCTTGGCAGCTTCCGAAGCAAGGACAATGAGTTCTATCACCTGGTGCCGACGCGTGCGTAGTCAGCAGGCCGAGGATGACATCCCTTGCTGGCTCTCACTGAGACCAAGTGCGTCTCTATGGCTTCAATCAACGCAAGTTCTATCTCTTCACTCTGTTGATTCCGTGCTAGTTCAATGTAATCCGTGGAGCCGCAGAGGTCAGCAGTGGACTGCTGCCCAATCTCGATCAGAATATGGCGAGATTGCTTCTGGCAGCAAGAAGCTCAACAGGAGCACACGATAGCAAAGAGGCGCATAGGTCCTTGAATCATGTCGAGTATCTCTGCTGCCCGACGACGTCGACGACGACGACGACGACAATCAACTGCCGACAACGCGTCCCGCGAAGGATGTTGCACTGCGTACGTGCATGTTCACTCGCTCCAAAATCCGATCTTTGGTATGCGGGAGGGCGTATGATCTGCATGGCCGCTCCATCGACGATTGTTCAAGCTTTCCAGAATTTAGCTTCGGAGGATTCAAGTCCAAGTGAAGGCCACGCTTCTTCAATCAATCGCAAACAGTTCTAGCATGACACTGCAGATCTGCTTGATGAACCGAACTTTAACACGGCCAGAGTGCAGCGCTGCCGTATCGGCAGAGGGCTTGGCGATGTAGCCATGCCCTCAGGTAAATATCAGAACTGGTATGCCATGGTAGGCATGTTTCCACGAGGTGGACGAACATCGCGAGCGTTAAACCAGCAGTGCGGGCACCAGCCCAATCTCGTCCGTCGACAATGGCCTTCCAGTATCGCGAGGCATGCAGCTCTTGCTGCACAGTCCGTATATGCCGTCTCGGCAGTCGTGAATAGGGCTACATCTCGGAATGTCGGATTTCCTATTTGCATGAAGCCGAACGCCCCATCCACACAGGTGAAGCGATGACCAGATCGATATCCCGCGAAGTCATGCCTCACGTGGCGCATGAAGATCGTGACCAGGCCAGTAACGTTCCAACCCGATCGTGTGTGAGATGGACCAAGTTTCCACATGACAGCATGGCGTGCAGTACAGCACCAGTCTCCCCAAGTCAGAGAAGCGTGTCCTATCCTCTCGAGCCACCGGTCATAGATCTGAGCCGTAGTATAACCCTCTTCCATCCCATCGCGCCTCTTCACACCAACCCCATTGATTCCAACCCAACCCTCTCATCCCCACAGACCTCGCAGTCCTCCGCCTCCCATCCCCATCCCCATTCCAACTCCGTAACAGCTTTCAATCCCATCCCCTCCACAACCCTCATCCCACAAAACCAAGACCCCAGCAACCGAATCCCCCTTTCCAGTTCCACCATCTCTCGGCTCAACACAACTCCTCTCTTTCCAACCGCAAAAAGCCGCACCCGCACCGAGATTTCGAGGTTGCTTCCAGATAGGCCGAGACTTCTTTCAAGGCGAAGGCGTTGGGGGATGGAATCGAAGATGGCGGTAAACGTTGAGGCGATGATAGGTGGGGATGCGTGAAGATCGAGATCGCGCGTGCTCAGAGGAGGGAGGCTGCTATGGGTTTGGTTTCTGAGGTGGTGTGGATATGGAGGGTGCGGTCTTTGCTGGGGGAAAGCGTCCGTCGTGAGAGGAGAGAGTGGTGGAGTGTGTGGAGTGGGACAAGCGAGAGGGAGTTGCTGTGATTACGTGACTTGGTGTGGGGAATTCCACGATGTTCTGTTGTACCAATCGTCACAAACTGTGCGAATTTGGTGGTGTGTGTTAAGTCTGTGACTTAATAATCTCACAATGCACAAGGATCACTTGTACAAGACTCAATCGGTATTGGGCTCGTTAGTAGAGAGGTCTGGCAGAGGAAGAGTGAAGCGATAGAGTAGTATAGTAACTTAAGGGATTGTATTCTAAGTAGTAAGATGCTATAGTAAGTTGAACATATCGAAAGCTAGAGGCATTCTTAGTGTTCCTATATA